ATGAAGTTCTTGAGCACGTCCTTCAACAGTGAGCTTTGGCTGGTCCGCACTCCCCTTGGCGCTGAACCACCGTCATCTTGGACTCCAGTATTAGCTCGTGCCACTGATCCTTCGTTTCTGCTCGACTCCATGGTGTTCTAACGGCAAGACGTCCAATGCCCAGCTCTGATACCACTTGCTGACCATTATTTGGGATCAAGAGGCTCTTAACACATCTTTAATCAACACTAGGTAGTTCCCACGGGGTAAGATCGAGCAGACCGCCGTTGCTTAAGTGCAGATCGAACATTTTGCCGTTGCTTAAGTGCAGATCGAGCATTTCGCCATTGCTCAGTGCAGATGGAGCATTTCGCCGTTGCTCAAGTGCAGATCTAGCATTTTGCCATTTCTTAAGTGCAGATCGAGCATTTCGCCGCTGCAAGTGCAGGTTCGGTATCGAACCGGACCGGTTTGACCAAACGGGTTCAATTTGTTGGCTGTTTTAACGAACCACGAACAGGCACCAAGCAGACCGGTTCATGAACGAGCATGTTCGGTTCAGCAGTGAACCGGTTCGGTTTCTTACGGTATAAATACGAACCAGCCGGTTTGGTACCGTGCTCATGCCTAATTACAGTGCTATGGAAGTAAGTTGGTAGAATTTTGTGCTTGACTGTTGCGATTTGAATGATGGCGTTCGGTCTTGGCACTGATTTCGCCAATTTCGCCCAACCAGCTCACCCCACCCAAACCCCACCGTACCACAAAGCACCTCTCTCACTTCCGTACTGCAGCGTCCACACTAACCTAATCCTCGCGTGCTAGATCTAACTCTCCACACTCCAGCCTAAGTGGTTAACGGAAGAACTCACCTAAAACGAAAAGTTTTAGGATAGATGTATTTAACGCGGGCATGAGTATGGTGGCTAGAGGTATTGCGAATGTTAACATTCGAGCTCAAAATTGAGCTAATGTTGTTTTTTATGACGTAGTATAAAACCAGCGCGTTGTGATGGATTTGTAGTGATGGAAGCCTTAAGAGCATGGGAAACAACTATCGGTAAAAGTTTCAAAACATTTTTTACAAACCTCAACTTACTGAACCAAAAGGGGGCTCCCTATATTGCTCAAGCCAACCTTACTGTTGACAATTGAGCTATATTTGGAGCTCAATCGTCAAGTTACGCCATTCCGCTACTTAAGCGTTCTAGCTAGGCGTTCTCACGGTTCAAATCCTAGAAACAAGTAGGAATATTGTTTCTTATGGGTAGTTAAGGCTAGGACAGAAATTGATAAATTTCTAAGGAGATTTAAAATGCAGTTTTCCTAAGTAAAAGACTCTTGCTCGCAACTCGTAGCCCTTTACTTAGTCGCGAGTAGGAAATGTGGTCGAATCTTAAGCTGCGAGCTCGTTTGAAGTGCTGTGATGGGAGATCTGAACTCCTTCCACAAGCCCTAGAAGTGATAGCGAGCTTGGGGGGGAGATGGTGGAGCTTCCCGTTTTTTTTTTTTTTTTTTTTTTTTTTTTTTTGGACCCAACTTGTGCAACAACAATGTCACACTGGATGGTTCCATCAAGTCTCAAGCGTTTATCAACAGCAACCTGCAATTTTGAATGGAGCCCAAAGCTCGAACCTGTCCGAGTTCGGGTCGAACACCTTAGTGTTCTACCCTAACTGAATATGTTTTAAGAAAAATTCTGAGTTCAAAGTTCGAGTTCGGTTTGACAAAGGTGCATGTTTGAATGAGTTCGCGTCAAACGGGTTCGAGTTCGATCGTTGCTCACCTAGTAGACAACTTTCTATTACTGTTAGAACTTAGGAGCTAAATTAGTAAATCTCGCGTAAAATTCGAAATTTGGGTGGGGGGTATGAGCTATGGGCTAAAGATTGGCGCTAAGGTTGGGCTGAGCCCAATGTCAAAATCAGTGCTGTGACGAGTGGTAAGCGGTGGTGAGTTGGTTGCGAATTTTCATTTCAACAATTTTGTTGGGGAGGAGGGAGTTCCTATCTTTGCTTAGTCGGTGGCAAAATAGCCGATCTGCACAGATCGGCGGGCGAAATCGCCGGTCTGTGCATATCGGCAGGCAAAAGCGGGTATCACGACCCGCCTCCTGGTCAGCCCAACCCGGGCCCGGGTCCTATCGACCCGCCTCTATAAGGCCGGGTTGGGTTGGGATTCAGGATTATTGTACCGGGGGAGAACCGGCCCGACCGAGACCCAGTCGGGTCAGGCCAGATCGGAACGGGTCGGGCCGGGTCAGGCCGATTGCTCATCATGCCTACTCAAACCCAGTGCCGTGTTCCTTCTGCCATGGCTTCTGGACCACCTCTCTCTACCCCCTTTCTTTTTGACATCTCGTTTTTCCTATGAACAGTCCAGCCCTAGCCCATTTGATCCTTCTTTATTTAGTCCGCTCCCCTTTTTTCGGATCTGAAAAGCGGAGACCCCTTCGCCTCCATTTTCCATGGCCTTGTTTACATCTCCTTTTTCAAATGGACTGTCCTTCGTTGGCCCATTAAATCCCTTTCTATTCAGACCGCTTAACTTTGATCGGATCTGGGAAGCAGAGACACCTACACCTTGTTTATTTGCCCCTGCTGATTTTGACATTCCACATTTTTTTGTCTTTGCCTCCCTCACTCCCAACATATCTTCACATGAAGTTTAGGCATCTTTATGAAAATCAGATCAGTGGCTCTATCCCTGTGGAGATTGGCTCAATGAGCAAGTTGGAGCTTTTGTAAGAGTTGTTTACATCAAGTTCAGGAATTTCCTGTTCTCTCTATATGTATTTCTAAGCAACTAATCTTCAATCCCAGGCGCCCCATTTTTACACCCCTTCAATTGAATCTTAACCTTTCTTCGCCATCCTCTCTTCTGCTGTCCTCACCATGCACCATTGCTGGTCTGTTGTGAAGCAACACTAGTCACAGTGTAATAGAATATTATCACTTGGCAATAGAAATAATCATCTTCTCATACCTAGTTCATGTTTTGAGAACGATGATAAATAAGTCAAGTAGTATCAACAACCATCTTTGTTGGTTGTCCGACCCAGTGTTGGTGGTCAGGCCAGATCTCTCCCCTCCTTGCCATGAACATCTCTCTCTCTCCTCGTTGACACCAACAGCTCTCTCCGCTCCAACATGCTGTCAGGATCCTTGCCCTCCTCGATAACAGGGCTCGCAGCAGTTTCAGAATTGTAAGGGATCAAATGGTTTGCTAGAAATGCGGTTGCTCTTGACTCTTCTGGTCAACCTTACTAGTACTTTGACCTCTGTTTTAGCCCTGACTGTGACTGTGAAGAGGTACATCCAAAAGTAGGAAGTACGGTGTTGTCCTTCTGCTGCACAGAGCAAGGTGCCTGAGAGTGGAAGGTGCGTAAAAGTGAAAGGAGTATGAGAGTAGGCTGCTGTGCTACGGCTGCTGTGTTGTTGAAAACAAAATCTGCCTGGCTCGTGGCTTGTAATGAGTCAGAAAGGCTTGTGATGATCCAGGCTGTAGGCCCACCAGCCTCTTATCCCCGTGAGTGGCACTCGTAATTGTGAGAAGTCAGAAGCGCAACAAAGAACCAATGATTAGATTCGGAATGAGGGAGGTATACAAAGTTGAGAGAGCGAATGGGGGGCTGGTTCGGACCTTGGCCAACATTATTGGCCGCAACTCGCAAAGTTTGGTTGGAAAATGACCAAAGGGTCAAATAATCTTGGCCAACCAAACCTTGGGGGTCAAATAATTGGGCAAACGGTGAGTGAATCCAACCCCAACTAGGGTAGGCATGCGCATAATGCCCGACCAGGTCGGGTTGGGGTCGGGCTAGGCTTGAGAAAGCGGCGAACACGATGGCTGGTTGATGTGATCATAACGAACATGTTCTAGACGAATATGGTCGTGCTCGCATTTTCAGCAGCCCTCGTTATTAATCACATCCACCAGCTTATTTGCTGTGGTGGGGGAAATTAGGCTTTGCTCTTGTTTCTTCCCTAAAATGCCCTAAATCACAATGGCGCCAAAGCCAAACCAATCAAGGATAGTAGAAAATGGTGGCGCCACCAACCTAATTGTCTAGTGTTGAAGGTGAAATTAGTGGTGGACGGAGTAGTCTAATCGAGGGTGCGGTAAGGGACTTAGCTAAAAAATCGAGCTAAAAAATGAGCTCGGCATGCCGTGATGAACCGAGCACAAACGTGTTCGCCTTCAACACTTTTGGAGAATAGAATAAGTGTCCGGTTCGCCTGTTCGCCTGAATGTTCGACTTTGGGTTGGGCCGACCATTTTATATTGCCGATCCACTTGGTTCGGGTTGGGAATACCCGGCGGGGTCAGGTCGTCCCGTATGCCAGGTCGGGTCGACCTGGCTACCTGGGTTGGGGGTAGACAAACGATCGGGCCAATAATCCAAATCGGGTCCGGTACATGGCGGGTCTGCGCGTATTGGTGGGCGAAAATGCCGATCCGCGCGTATCGGTGGCCGAAATCGCCGTTTGCACCTATCGGTAGACGAAATCACCGATTTGCGAGTATCGGCGGGCAAAAATACCGATCTGCAATTATGGGCGGGCGAATGTGCCGATACGCGCGGATCGGCGGGCAAACATACAGGCACTGTCAAAATCGGGTATAGCAACCCGACCCGCCCCCGAGTCAATCTGACCCGGGGGCGGTCAGGCGTGACCCGGTCCTTCAATGCCGGGTCGGGCGAGGCGGGTACCCGGTTGGGTCTCACCATGTCTCACCGAGTTACACCACCCGCTTGTGGGCGCCTCCATTCCCTTGCTAAGTTGGCATATACGCGTTTCGCGTATCATACACTAGCGTACGATACGCTGGCGTATATATATATATATATACGCCATACGCCAAGGCTCTCGTACTGCAGATACGCTAAAATACGCTGGGCGGGCAGGTAGAACGTTTTCCCGGGCAGGTGGAAAAAACAAAAACACATCTCAATAAATTATTCATAAATATCCCGAAATACATTTTTGTGGCTACTTCTCCCCATACATCTCCACCCTCTAGCTAGCCTCCCCACAACCTATTTCCTTGCGGGGCTTTTCCACCACCACCCCTTCCTCATACTCATCCGCCAGAACTGCATCCTCTCCCTCCTCTCCCTGCCCACCAATCATTTCATCCTCCTTGTCTATGTTATAGCCCGGGGGGGAAGGGGCATCCGGGACGTTCCCGGGCACAACCGTGCTGCCCCCATCCTTCCTTGTTATACCAGTTGCGCACAACGTTTCACTTGTGCGCAACGTAGACGAGGTCCGCACATTTGGTGGACCCGAGCCAGCTGCAGCGGGCGGTGTGGACGCCTTCCCACACCGCCCAGCCACGTTCGCATGAGGAAGCGGAGACGGGATGAGTGAGCACCCAGCATGCAAGGGTGGCAAGCTCACGGTACTCGGTGCTGTGCCACGACCACCATTCCTCATCCATCACGGCAGCTCTGAAGATCTCGGCTGCTGCCTTCTTCTGCCCCATTGCCCACCCTTTCCATTTGTCGCTGAGAACCAGCTGCGCCAGCCCACTCCTCACCTCGCATAGCCAGGACACAGCTGTGTCCCGAATCTGATCCCGCAGGCATGAGCACTTGTTTCCCCTTCCCCCCCGTCAGGCTCGGGTTCTTCATGAAGGCAAGGGTGAAGTCGTGGTTGCGCACGAAGTTAATCATCTCCCCTGCCTTCACCACGACCACCTTCGCCCATGACATCTTTCCCACATCTTCCATTATCAGGTCCAGAACATGCGTGGCAAAAGGCACGTGCTCAATGTGCGGCCATGTTGTCGCAATCTTCTTGTCTGCCAGTGCATAGCTGTTGCTGCAATCAGTGCAAACCGCAACCACATTCTCCGGCCCCACCTTATCTATGACGGGGCAGAGAATGTTGGCGATATACCTCCCCGTCTTCAGCTCCATGTGGCTGTTGACGGGAATAGAGTGTTGGCCCCGACATCGCTTGGGCGAAGCCGACTTCATGGTCAGGTGCATGGGAGGTGCAGCCGACTGCTCTGCAGAGTTCGACGCAAGCCTGGGCGTGCAGGTCGACAAGGTGGTCGACCTGCGGGCAACCGTGCGATGCCGCCGTTGAGAGGAGCCGGCGGCCTACTTCGACGGGGAGGTCGACGAAGGTGGTCGTCAAACTATGCGCGGGACTTTTGAGGGGCCGTCAAAGAAGGGAGTTCGACGGCAGAGGTGGTCGAAGGAAGGGTCCGTCGACCAGGGTGGTCCTCGACGGGAGTCATGGTCGACGAGGGAGGTCGTCGACAAGGGCACCGAGGCAGTACCCGGTCTACCAAGTCACCTCCTCGACAAGGTTCTGCGGAGGCACGCGAGGCTCATCAAGGCTGCGATGGCGAAGGCGACCTCGGGCTGGTATCTCGAGGTCCACGTGGAGCGTCAGGCGCAACCATTGGCACGTGGCCGACTTGGCGCCTGCGCGACGGTAGAGAACATGCTCGACCGCCGCCGCGCACCCGCGAAGTGGGTGTGCACCTGCGTTACTGTCATCTGCGGATTCAGCGCTGGCAGACCGCTCTGCTGCAGCGTTGGCAAGCCGCGTTGTCGATCTGCTCTGCTGGCAGGTCGTGTTTCTGCAGTGTTGGCGCGGTGCCTCTACGCAACGCTGGCAGATTGTTGACTTTGCTACGCTGGCAGCCGACCTGCTAGGTTGCTAGGCTCTGATGTAGTCAGTCATTGCTTTTACCATCATTCTGTAATCCCAACTTTGCTTGTGAAACTCTTGCCAATTCTTTCTGTGAATGTGCAAGTGCTAGAGTACGCAGGCAAAGCTACGATCACACTCACAACCCGTGCCAACCTCGTAGTCTAGCTCCAACCGTTGTAGACCCCGCAGATTACCTTCAGAATTAGTAGCCGATTGCTCACTTACCTATGTCGTTCGTAGGGCGGTAGCCCGTGCAGACCATGACGCCTAACCCCGGTGAAGCTGGCAGTGTAGAGGATACGCTGGAGGCATGGTTAGCTGATGCAAGGAAACGCCACGTAGGTGGTGAGTTCGGGATGACTTAACCCTTAGAGGTGCTCCTCCTAGGCATCCGTGTGCAGTGGGCGACGGAACACCCCTCCGGACCTGCTTCTCCTCGACCGTTGCAAAACGAAGGTGGCATCGACGAGGAGGTCGACGGCGGTGACCAAGTCGGCAGTGACCAGGGCACGAGGGTCAGAGCCGCCGACAGCGACGTCGGCAGGAACCAGGCACGAGTGCAGTGATCAACGACGGCCGCAGGCAGTTTGCGTGTCCACGTCGAGGGACGACGTCGCTCTCCTCAGCAAAGCAGTGGGATGCCCACGTTGATAACCATGTGACGGCGGGCGGGATCACATTGGCGTATTGGTACTTCAAATTCTCGCCGGACCAGATAGACGTGCCCGAGTTGCTACAGGATCGACAGGACTTCATCACGTGGAGGGAGTCCATCTAGCCCCAGCTGGAGATCGTCGGGCTGAAGGGTTTCGCCGATGGCGACATGCCGACGCCCAATGAGGACGACATCGAGCTGCGGGCGTAATTCTACGCGGATCCCCTGCTTACCTGGTCATCTTGGGCTGCGGGCGAAATTCTACGCTAGTGCAGATCGCCTCAAAGCCGTGTCGATTTCGACTGGATGCCGGCCACCAGGCGTGGCAGTTCATCTTGTCAACGGGAGCTGGACTACGGGGAAGGCACGGGTGTGTGAGTGATCGTTGCGTGTTTGTTTGTGTTCTCTCTACGCACACATTCATAGGGAGAATCGGCAAGAGTTTCACAAGCAAAATTATACAATGCATTGGCAACAATGACTACATTAGGTGCAAGACTGCCTCGCGCACAGGGCAGGTCGACCTCCAGCGCAGCACGGTCAACCGCATTCCATCGCAGTAAGGTTCGCACCGCTCCAGCACTGTGGAGAGGCATCTTGCCAACAATGCAAGTCGACGTCGTGCCAATGCAGCAGCAAGGCAGATGTACAGCATTGCACCCGCATGACAGAAGCACACCTACTTCGCAGGTGCTCGCAGTTGGATGGCGTGCTGTACACCGTCACATGCATAGCGCAGACGCAAGGTCGACCACGTGCCATGACGGCGTCTGATAATTCACGTCGACCTCGTGATACCACTCCGAGGCTGGCTTCGCCAGAACCACTTGGACGACTATCGTGCACCTCCGCAGATCCCCGTTGCCCAGGTAACTCGGTCTACCGGGCAACCACGCCGACCAAGTGCTGCTCCTCGTGCCCATCGACTGTCCAGGTCGACGGCCACCTTTTGCCGACTTCACAAAGTCGGCCACTCCCCCAGGTCGACCACTTCTAGTCGGCCAGGTCTGCTGGTCGCGGACTGCACCCAGCCGACCTCCAGGTTGGCGCCACCAAGTTGGCGCCCCCCCCCCCCTAGTTTGACGCCACGAGGTCGGCGTCCCCCGGCGCCCTTCCCAGGTCGACGTGCCCCCACGTCGACCAGGGTTGAAGTCGGCCGCCGGCGCCCGTCGTCAACGGCTTCGCAGTGGCCCCCTTGCAAGTCGACCAAGCCTGTCGACCTGCAGCAGGTCGGCTGCACCTCTCGCACACCCGACCACGAAGTCGACTCCGCCCAAGCGAGGACGGGGCCAACACACAACTCCCGTTGACACTCAGGATGGGCGAGCAGGAATCGGCGAAGGACTACTGCAACCGAGCTCGACGGATCTTGGCCGACATGCCGATGGCCGGCGTCGACTCGACGGCATCATAGATCACATACGTTGTCCAAAGCCTCCCGAGCCGCTACAATTTAATGCGCTGGAAGTTGACGATGCCTGGCGTGCACGAGTCGCTCGAGAAGGATACCCTCACCAGCCACATCATCAAAGATGAGGTGACGCAGGAGGCAGAGCGGCCCACAGAGCTCCTTCTGCAGGCAAACTACGCCGTTCCGACGATGCAGAGTCGTCAGCAAGGGTCGCATGGGAAGCAGGGCGGAGGTGGTAGCGGAGGTGGGAGGTCAACAAAGGACGCCAACCAGAAGAAGTCAACTCGGGACAACTTTCGAAATGGCAGTGGCCGACGGTGGGAGTGCTGGGTTTGCGGCGAACCCGACCATCTCTCCTTCGAGTCTCCTGACCGTGACGACTCTGACGACGACAACCATGGAGGCCGCGGGAGGTCGACCAACGGTCGTCGAAGTCGGGTTGAGAGCTCATGCAAGGAGAAACAGGCATCGAGGACGACGCTGTCGACGAGGGACGACGACTCCTCCAGCGGCAAAGGCCGAGGCGATGGGGAGGCGTCGTGTTGGATGGTCAGCGTTATGGAGCCGATAGTCTCGCCGGCGCCGGAAGCCGGCGAGGACTTGAACGCGGTCGCGGCCGCCGTACAAGCAAACCAGACGTTGGTGCTGATCAACAGCGGGTGCTCGCGTTACCTCATAGGAACAAAGGAGGCCTTCGTCGACATGGCGCCGAGCGGCGACGTGAAGCATGTGCGCGGCTTCAACAGGGCTCTGCAGACGGTCAAAGGCCGCGACACCGTCGCTTTGCAAGGGGAGGCCGGGAAGGGGGTCTACATCCCAGACGTGCTCGACATCTCGAGCGTGCAGGTGAACCTGCTGTCTGCCGGCCAGCTAAAGGACAGCGGCGTGAAGCTGCAGGACGACGGCAACGAGACGCTGCTCGTGTCGAGTTCAGGCGACGTACTCGGTCGAGCACGCTGCACTGGCCGCGTACTCAGCACCGACCTTCAACCCTGCTCGACGAAGCCATTGTCGAAGTCGAGCGAGGTGGTGGCTCTGCCGACAATCGCTTCTGCGACAAAGTCGACTCCCAACCAGTGGCACGCGAAACGCACGTCAAAGTCGACACGATCAAGAGCTCGGCGAAGCATGAAGTTGCCACCGGCCTTGACATCAAGCCGTTGTGAAACAATGAGAAGAGGAATGAAATGACTAAGTCAGAAATTGGTACAAATAACAAACCCTAGGAATCTGTACCCCATATGTGCTACCCCACTACAGCCTACAAACATGTATCAGCTATAATGTTCTGACACACCCCCATAGGCAAAGTGGGGGAGAACAAGGGGTCACAAGACCAGTCAAGCAAAGCAAAGCAAGCTCAGGGTGGATCACAAAGTCACCACACAGTCCGAGCACAAGAGCAGGGCCAGAGGCCAGTTCACATGCAGGAGTACAGACACATATATATATTACTAGACAAGCAAGAGCAGATATATATATATATCACAGTACTAGTGAAGTCAGGAAGAGAGCAAGTGAGGCAAGACAGGCACAAGACCCAGCTGGGTACAGAAGCGCTGATGGTCACAAGGCGCGAGTGCCTTGGTGAACACATCAGCAGTGTTGGCCTCAGAGGCCACGTACGCAAGTCGCAGCTGACCACGCTGCTGCAGCTCACGAGCAAGGAAGTAGCGGAGAGCAATGTGCTTCGTTCTGTGCTCCAGACGCTGCTCTCGACACAAGGCCAGCATGGCCTTGTTGTCTACGTACAGCACTGGAGGAGAACGAGGCGGCTCTCCAAGGTCAGTCAGCAGGTAGGTGAGCCAGCGAAGCTCCTGCGCAGCCATGGCCCCGGCGTAGATCTCAGCCTCACAACTGGAGCCGAGAACCGAAGACGAGCGAGTAGACCGCCACGAGACAGAGCTGGAACCAAGGCTGAAGGTGTAACCCTGTGACGACCGCTGCGTAGCCTGGTCGTCAGCCCAAGAAGCGTCCGCGTGGCCCGTAAGGACCACTGGACTCCGCCCTCCAAGCACTAGCCCCATGCCCGACGTACTGCACAGGTAGCGCAATACCCTCTTCGCTGCAGCCATGTGCTCAGGTCGGTGTCTCCCAGGAGCAACATAGCGTGCAAGGATGCTCAGAGGGTATGCAAGGTCAGGTCGTGTGCAGGTCATCAGGTACATGAGGCAGCCAACAAGCTC